TTCCTAAGAAAATTCTCATACTAAAAAGAATCAAAATTTTACAAAAATTTTTTTTGAGAACGAAGCGACATCTCCAACAAAAATTTTTTGGGGAAATTCTGAAATATACAAAATGTTCAATAGTCACTGGGCAACATTATTTAGAGGAATTGTAAAATTCGATAACGTTGTCTTCGAGTTATAAACAATTGCATCATGCATAGCGAAATAGTGAAGGTCTGGGTTGGGTCCTAAACAAATTTTTTTTTTCAGGAAGGAAAAAGTTTTACAGGAAAATACTGGATATCAAAATGCAAGTATTAAATACACAGTTTGAAAGGTACATTTGACAAAGGAATTGCTGCTCTAAATATGTAACAAAAATTGACAAACACAAATAATAACTAAGTTCACAACAAAGTTCATAATGATGGACTTATATCTTCTGAGTAAAGAATTATGGGAAAATTATGAGGGGTGCAAAATATGTAAAACATCAGAGTGGAATAGAAGTGAAAAGAACAAAAGCTTTAGCTCAAGAACTTCTGGAGCTACAAATTGTTCATTCAGGCAAATCAGTGTGCCAGGCTCCAAAACAATTTCTCGCTGTTAAGCACAAATAGATGTATGTGCGATAGAAAACGTTTGTCTTGTGTTCAATTGTGTCCTCTTGGTAGCACTTTTTACAGTTGTGCCGTATGTCCAATCTCTCAGGCTTGTGCTGTACACCTGTGGGTGGCCCAAACTGGGAAACTTACTCGCAATTAACAGCAGTCGTTCCTGGCCGATCTGGTGAAATTTCTTCGTCGGGGCTAAATTCCGACATCGCCACATCATTGTCTAAGTCTTGATTGTTCAAAAAGCCCAAAAGATTGCTTGTCGTGAAGTGTCGGCATCGAGCGAAATAGCTGTTTTCCGTGCGGCGTCGACGCCATCGCGTGGCTTACGTGCGCTTCAATCTTTGAATTCACGCACCCTTTTAGAAATCGCCGCCCCACGGTTAAAAAGCAAACCCTGCAAATAAAGCAATTCCAGTGTGTGTACAATTGCCTAGATGGTGCTAGTGGTCCCAAAGCGTGGTAGTTGCTCAAAAATATTGGTGCAAAATCATCAGTCACAGGTGAACGATGCCTAGTGGGGTGGTAAGGAAAGAGTTAAGGGGGATAGAGGGCTAAATCGACTGAAGATACGATTTTTCAATTTTGATAGCAAGATAATGTAGCATTATCGACAAGTGCTTCTACGAAGGGGTGCTTTTATATGTGCAGTAAAAAGTATTTAAAAATGTTCCCAAACCTCATGCCGTGACGGCACGGCAACAACCCGAAGTTTATGTGCCGTTTTCTCGAAACGCTGGTTTTCGTCAGAAAAGGAACATTTTCTCTGCAACCACTGCAGCTATCAAGTGCAAACTTTTGTGACTTCTTTCTGCATAACATGCACTCTTACTGAAGCAATAGAATGGTGTTGCCACCAGAATTGTATTTTTGTTAAAGTATTTCTTCAAGGAAGGAGCCTTAAAATTCTAATCATCAAATATATAAGAGAGAGAGAGAAAACAAGAAGAAGAAAGGCAGGGAGGCTAACCGGTTTGCTACCCTGCAGTGGGAGTACGGAAATAGGGATTAAAAAGAGAAGGAGAGCACTGCATGTACTAAGATGCACAGTCAGTGAGTCAGTCACTGAGGCGGGAAACTTTTCTGACCAACATGACTTCAGCATTCAGGCAGGGAAATTGCGGCCTTGGTGAAGGTCGTAGGCGATCCGTGGAGGCTAGTGAAGTACTGAAAACACTGGATTGAGTATCTCCAGCAGTGTCAGGGCCGTTTGGTCTGATGGAGTATTTAGCTTATTCAAAAGCAGAAATATGGTGTCCAGGAGAGATTGTAGTGTCGCAGGGATGTCCTTGTCTTTTTGAGGCATGGCATGGTTAACCAGCGCTGTCGATGACTCGGTCAATGTTGGTTCAGTCTGCTGCAACCGTTCGATTCATTGTAAATGGCGCTGTGGCTTTAACTGTGGTTGTGGTTTTGGCTGTAACTCTGGCTGCAGCTTTGGTAATGCCGGCCAAATATCAGTGTTCATATGCTCTGGTGCGGTCCTTTCCTCAGAAATTGACGCGGACATGTATGGTCTAGGAAGCAAAGGAGGTCATATCACAGAGTCCCTACCACTACTGCGTCGGGAGCGCCGCATTCTGGCGACAGCAACAGCTTCCCGATGAGACAACGGGTCTCACACCATCTGCTTAATAATGCCCTTTTCTTTCTGTATCTTAGAGCAGTCATTTGACGAAGCCTCGTGTGACCTGAGGCAATTACGGCACTTGAGTACCGTGGCAGTGCAGGAGTCTGTAGCGTGTGGTTCGGCGCAGCGCGAGCAAATTATTGTGCTTTGACACATACGTGCTCAAATATTTGTGGCATTCAAGTGGCCTTGGAATGAACGGTCGTTCAGGATGCCGAAAGTGGCCCACCTTGACATGGGAAGGCAGAGATTATCCCTTGAATGTTACTTTTATACAGCGAGATGTGCCCATGAACATCTATGTATGATATCATATGTATGATATCGAAGACATATGTATGATATCGATGCCATCTACCACTGGTTTCACAAGACTGGTCAAGTCTGTGTTTGAAACAGAGATGTCGACATCATATATGACACCAGTAGTGGTAACACTTCTCAATGGGATGTACGAGTGAACTTTTATGCCATCAAATTCCTTAATTTTACTCAGTGTGCTCAGAGCAGTCTTGTGTGCAACATTGATAGCCGGAACATTTTTTCTTGACTTGAGTCTCGCATCGCTTACTTCATTTGACACCACTGCCTCGAGAACCACCAAGACCGATTGTCTGTTGAGTCGGCTCAAGTTATCGGTAGCAAGCCGTGGTACAAAAATAGTCGTACCGACTGCTGTCTTCACGGTTGTCTGAAGTCAGGGAGGACCCAGTGTTTCTGTGCTTCACCTTACGTCTTTGTACGAGTTGAAAGTCATGCTCAGGCCATTCCTCACTGCTAAGTGAGTAGACACTGGTGTTGTCGCTGTCCGCGGCGCTACGAAGCCCATAGCGCTTCCTGGAAACTGCCGCTGCCATTCCCGGCAAGGGTGCAGGAACATTTAATCTTGCATCGTTTCCATACCGAGGCAGAGATCCAGCGATGCACGCAGAAATAGTAAGAAACTAGCGAATCAGTAGTCACAAGCATTCTGCCAACAAAACACTTCGTCTTCTTGGCAGACGAGGTGTCTGCTTGGCAGACAAAAAAAATGAAACATCTAAATTTTTAATTAAAAAATGTGCATGCCTGCATTATTATTTTGATTCAGAAAGATACCCAGGGCACATGTAATAACCAGAAGAGGTTTCACCATTTTACACGCAAGATTTTTTTTTCACAAATGCTCCTTCAAAAAATAAAAATGATTTAAATTTGACTATCTTTAGAATGGCTTTGTACTTTTCTGCTAAATTTACAAAACTTCTAAAACAATTTCTATTGAAGCCAGTGGCAAAGTTTTGTGGGTTTTTTTTTTTTAAATCACAAAGCGACGGGCAGCAGTAGTTGCACACCTGTCCTTGCTATCCATACCCCCTTAAAGTTAAGTGTGGGGTAAATCAAGACTGACATACTTGGGTACATGCTATAGCACTAGGCTTGCTAACACGGACACTAGACAGAAGCCGAGACAACACTGATGTAGACTAACAACTGAAAAGGTGCATCGCAGTCAAAAGGAACGTAGGTGCAACATCTCTGTGCATGCCCTAGCATTCACATACCTATGAATCCAGCATGTGTGGGCACTTTCTTGAGACATAGCTGCCGAGGCATTTGATGACTTCTTTGTGCAAGCTAATCAACAACTGGCTCATGCGTGTGCTACCACTATTATTTATATGCCATGCCCCAGCCATTCGATGCATTTGTTAATTCATGTGCATGTGCATGCATTCAATTTCTGCGCGCATTTAAGATCTTCACACTGTCAAGATAAATTAGATGGTGAGCCTCTGGATCTTGGCAACACACAGCTTGTCTATTCTACGTAGAAGTGGCGGCAATTAAAAAGGCCTTGTACACTACACGTGTTAAACAATCAGTCGATTGGTTGGTGTGTTTTAGGAAACAGATGTCAGTCCGCTTCTTGTCTATATTAAGACCTGAGAAAAATCTACAGTTTGGTGCAAATGTCCAAGTTGAGTTTAGTTTCAGGCTAATGATGTCAGGCTGATGCGTTGTCAGGCTGATGATGACGATGATACAAATGTTTTAAAAGTGCTTCTTTTTTAATGTAGCGATGTTTCTATTATTACCCTAAAATTGTTTTAGCCTTAAAAAAAATATTTCTGTGCGTTTTCAGGGATGTCAGTAAACTGTACTGCAGGGCGAGACACGCAAAAAGACACACTGCACTCGTTTGTCCTTGCTTTCTTCGTGCACTGTCCTGCTGCACAGTTTTTTTCAGAAGGTGATCCTGTATCTACTTGCCTAATTTTCAATGCTAGTTGAATTTTCAGGGAGTTGGAACCATTAGAAGAAATTTTCACATTGTAGTTCTCAAAGTGTTTATGTGTTTAAGCTTATTTCCTGAGAACCACTTTTTAGTAAATGTCACTGCATCATTAACCTTCATGTCTAATGGATTAATTTCTTTGCAAGAAAAAAGGTTGTGGCTTTGTGATGGTAAGATGCTAGGTGTGCATAGTCTTAATTTATTTTAATGACATCCTTTGGCCACAAGTAACACAAACACAAAGTAAAAGAACACACGACAAGCACAAGTGTGTTCCTTTACTTTGTGTTTGTGTTATTTGCGGCCAGACCATGTCATTAAGCAAGTACCAACTAGGCCAACAATCAGTATTGTCTCAATATATGTTTTTGTGCGCGCGCACCATTTTACTTTGCGCATGCTTCTCCAGCATGCATGAGCAGCCAGCTCAAAACTAAACTGTCATGTGTTTCTGCGTGAAAAACATTGAAGCAATCGTCAGTGTGGCATCTTGCAGGAAGCCAACAGAACCATCTCCGTGGGAAGCTGTGGTCAAGGGCTTTGCAGACTCTGCAGCAAAGCAGCATTCACTTCCGAGCTCACTGACTGCCTATGAGAGACGCATAGTCCATGAGGTAAGCTTATTTCTGCATCATTGATATTATAATAAGTGGTAAGAATTACAAGAGAGAAAACAAACATTGTTATTTGGCTGTTAATTATGCATTGTCGTCTTCAAGTTGGTCTTCCCTTCCAGAAAACCAAACTGAAGTGATGTGCTTCGTATGTTGTTCACAACAAATATGTGAAACAAGGAAAAGCTTGGAGGAATCGATTAAGGTTCAGTTGTTTACATAATAAATCAAAGCTTCATTAAAAAAATCGGATTCAGAGTGGATGCCGTGGACGCAGCAAGACCATCGTCTGGTACTTGATCATTAAGCTTTCCTGTTATTGTTAATTGTGAGCCCGGCACTCATGCATCGCGGTAGCAACACTTGTATACCACGCCTTCACATCTCGGCATCCTAACACACAGTGCCAGATCAACCTCTGGCGAAGCTCCTTAAGGCGTGGGTTGTGCTTCGCTGATGTATGTTGTAGTAGTATGTAGCCACAGTGGATGCAAGATGGCGATACTTGAAGTGTTCACTAGATGGACGAATGAACCGACAGACTAGCAGAAGTATGGACGGACGGACGGACGGACGGATGGATGCATGGACGAACGCATGGATGGTCACGCAGACGGAAGCAAGAACGAACGAATGGACGGAAACACGAACGGGCTTATGGATGCTTCGCCCCACTGATCATCATTCATTCCGTGGATATGCTGGGATTTTCTTTTCTTCTCAGCTCGGGTTGCATCCCACGAGCCTTTCTCCGACCAATCTCTTGCTGGTTCGCATGCACTCGGGTGACTCTCCTTGTGCACCGTCTCCCTGTTTCCATGTTCAGCACGCGCCTTGTGCCTCTCTTTTACTCATCCGAAAGTTCTAGAATAAACTGTAATGTTTTCATTGTGCGCGTAGTCGCATCAGAAGGTTCTAAGATCATCTCGATGGTTCTTGGTCATTTGGAGCAGTGACTGTGCGTGCCTAATGCGCATTTGATGCAGTGAAGTCTTTGAAATAATGTGCCAGGCAAGCGAATTCTTCAAAAGCTTAGACACAGTATTCGGTACACAGCCCTGTCATGCTCCAACTGGGTCCTGGAGTGGGGTCAAACACTTCAGCCTATTCAAAGAATGTTTACACCATAGGTCACCTTTTCCACCTGTGGTCATTTTGTATTCCCCATGCTATTGTGCTTTGGAAACAGTAGTATTTCAATGTGTTTAATCTACTTTGTTCTTCAGCCGAAATTTCTTCTTGTCACCATTTGTTGAAAACTGTGTAGGTGACGATGCGCGGCACAGTCATCATTCAAATTAAATCTCTGTATTTCAATATAGAAGACATTGACAGGGGCTTCATCGTGGGGACAGCGACTCGTCCTTTTCTGAACATTTTGGTGCCGGAATACGGTATGTACAATGTACGACCACAACAAACTTACATTCCCACCACAGAGAATACAATGCGAAAGACCACCAATGAAGGAAAACCTGAGCTTATATAGAGCTATTCTATGCATTTACAAATCTCGTCAATGTGCAATACCAATCAAGTTAATGACAACTGAGAGGCAACAAATCGGGTGAGACACAGGCTCGTCAACTCTCGTCTTTCTGAACTTCAGATGCTTCACTTCAGTGGAAGCTCAATGCAGCGGCAGCCTTTCTGGGGCATGTTTAAGCACGCCATTCTTGAAAACCTGAGTCAGTCAAATGTTGAACAATTCCACTATTTTAAGAACCTTCTGACTGAACAGGCTGTGAAGAGTATCGATGGCATTCAAGCCACAGAGGGGCCCTCACACTTTTAGCTTAACTTAATTGATTTGGAAACAAAATTATCGAGGAGCAATTGATGGTCAACCTGCCAGTGCCCAAGCCAGTAAAAGCTTCCACCAACGTGACTGCGTTGCACAACCTATTGGACACCGGCCACATCAACATCAGAGGACTCATGGTGCTCAGATGCCTGGAGCTATCCTATGCCACTATGCTCTTTGATGTCTAATAGGAACACCAGACGATATCTTAGTGGAATACTTCAAGCAACAAAGCCGCAAGATGAACGTTGAGGCGCTTGCATCAGCGGAGGTGGAACTGCAGGAGCTCCTCAATTACGTCCACGTAGAGGTGTAGGCTCGCAAAAGAAGTGCCTCTTTGGACACCTATGACCCTGGTGCCTGATATCACCGATAAAGCACACTTCACAACACTCTATACCCACGGCTTCTGCTTTGATTAACCATGCCATGAATAAAAAATTAATGTACTTACTTCTTTTGCCTTTCTTCAGTGCACACGACAGGGTCACGCTCTTCTGACCTGAGCTTGCAAAAGAAAAGGAATCGCCTAGCCAAGGCCGGCAGGTGCTTCAAGTGCACAGTCAAAGGGCATCACTCTAAGGATTGCCGTCATCGTGTAACTTGTTGTAAATGTCAATGTAAATGGAAATGTGCGACTGCGGTTTGTAACCCAGATAACGTATATTTTAGCTAAAGCAGTGATAAAATGAAGCAAGGAGCCCAAGCTGTCAACTACACAAAAAAGTCGTCATCTCAATAAAAAAAAAGTGGTTCTACAACAGACATTAAGTGCGTGTTGCTAAGTAAATGTGACTTGAGCTTTATTTGAGGTGTATTTAACAAAGGAAGTCAATGGACTTTCATTACAGAATAAATGTATTAAACTAAGCTTACCCACTGTGCACACTATGGGAATGCTAAACCCCCTGTAAAGTCGTTTGCGCCTCATGGCACATGTGTTTCGTGCAGTGTTAGGAATGATGTGTCGGGACATGCCACCACGTCCGTGACTGTGGCAACCTTGGGTAGCATCGTCTTGGCTAAAGCCATCAGAGTCTCAGGAGAAGACGAGTCGAGGAGCTGGAGTAGATGAAAATAACCGTCTATGTACAGTATTTACATGTTTAGAGTAACATGGAACAGCATGAAACAGATGCCGCACGCCCGAGCGTCTCTGCTCTCGCGTTCTGTCTTCCCAAGATTCCCTGCGAGGGAAGACAATCGAGCTCAGGTCCGTCCAACAGGATTGTCCTCCTCCACTCCGATCCCGAGCAGGCAGTCAAACCTGTTTATAGCCCCGCCGCGGTGGTCTAGTGGCTAAGGTACTCGGCTGCTGACCCGCAGGTCGCGGGTTCAAATCCCGGCTGCGGCGGCTGCGTTTCCGAAGGAGGCGGAAATGTTGTAGGCTCGTGTGCTCAGATTTGGGTGCACGTTAAAGAACCCCAGGTGGTCGAAATTTCCGGAGCCCTCCACTACGGCGTCTCTCATAGTCATATAGTGGTTTTGGGACTTTAAACCCCACATATCAATCAAACCTGTTTATAGGAAAGTGCAAGGGCACGCACACCTTGTTGCACAGGGAGGAGCAAGTCGGCCCCACTGGCTCAGTTCAGTAACCTGGAACTCCTCGCGTAGACTCCTTTGGTGGGCAAGTTTACAGGTTGACTCATCCGGCACTGCTAGCGCCTGCAGGCCCCGAACACAATGCACCAAGGCACGGTTGCTGGCCCAGGAATGTGGAAAGCATTCTTGCGGAACAAGTCCCATTGGCCAATGTAAAACGCAGAGGACGCGGCAGGTCAGGCTGTAATCGCCCCTCCGGGTTGTCAGGTGTGTCTAAAAGGTTTCAGGTTCGCGGGTCCAGCAGACTCACGGCACCACCACTGTTGTTGAAGCTACCCTAGAATGTCGCTCCACACAGGACGATGATTTCCGGTAGAGACTGGTAAGGCCGCGGCACAACAATAGGCCACATTCAGGGTTGCTCGCGAACGTTTATCACCATCACCATCATCATGGTTAGCGCAGTAGTGCCAGCAGTGACGGCTGGCTGGCGGCACATGAGGTATTAGGGGTCCTCTTTGGTGTGTGAAGGCTGGTGCGAATGGCTGCCTTTCCGTGGCGGTACCGTGTGAACGACGCCGCGGGACCGTTTCTTCTGTGAGCCCCTCATGGCAAGTTAAGGGTTGGCAACGCCACTTACGCGTTACCTTGTTTGTTTTTATGTTGAGTGTATTGTAATATTGTGTAAGGTTGTTTTACTGTGTCGATCATTAGTAATGTATTTGATTCGGCTATGAATCGACGTCAAAGTAGTTAAATAAATGGTTTGTTTGGTTTGGTATGATTGCGTCTGCTGTGTCTGTTCGTTCTGAAAATGTGTCTCATTCTGTGACCCCGCAACACCATTGAAATGAATGTAATAGCATTTGGAGGAGCTAGCGGGGCATCGTAAGGACGACTGAACATTGTCAAGGTAACAGTAATGAACCAATTCAATCATTTCAAACTTGATATAGAGGCCATAGATGTTCCGTTCATCTGTCAACAGCTGATTGCAATGCCAGTGACAAACATGTTTTTACGCAAGATATCAGAAGAAAAGAAGTGCTGATGGAGTACACATTCCTGGACTAAAAATTGAAGATGACATATGCTTGCCCGTTAGAGCTAACTAAATGTGCAGGAGCGGAAGTGCTGTGCCGATTGCGCCATGTTGCACCAATCTGACCTGCTGCACCAAGCCGCGCCTATATGGCAATTGGCATGTGCAACGCCGAATTTAGTCGAGAATTTTATCATCTAGCAAGCAACACATGTGAGCTACACAAAGGGCGCAATCGTGTCCATATAAAATTCCACATCCATATCAAACATCGTATTTCGGTGTCACTGGTCCCGTTAATTAGGGAGGCGATCGCCAGGCTAATTCCAAGGGCCGAAGTATCGGCCCCCCGAACCGCACCACAAAAGCGTAGACAATTTAGAAGTGGTCCTTTTTGGCGCGCCAGCGGACGCCGGCTGTGGCCCAAAGAACAAGTCAGAGCCGAGAGTTGATAAACAAAACAAAATTATATTCTCAATAATGGCAGATCAAAAACAATACACAAGTATGCACACTCCACAATAGTTGAATACAATGTGTCACCAATCAAACAACGTACTACACAGTACAATCAGCCACACTCGAAACAACGAACACAGACAACATTAC